CGTAACAAACGCCGCGGCCATCCGAAGGGGACGTGGCGTGCAAAAAAATGCCGTGCAGGGGCAAAGAGCAGGAGAATAGCTGGGGATCCTTGAACCACAAATCAGTGTATTAAAGGGAGTCGGAAAAGAAGGTTACGGCTGCCTAGGAGATCTTTAGAAGAAGTTTAGGAGATGGCCAAAGCCCGGTGCAGATGTGCAGTTGGCCCTTGCACCAAGCACACGGGTGATCTATATGAACACTGGTGGTTTTTTTTAATGCCAAAATGACTCTCTGCCCACTTGTAGAAATCATGTTCCTTAAAGGAGATTCACCCAAACAGTCACAGCCAGCTTCTACCCAACGAGACGGCAAGCTTCCTTAAATTCTAGCGCTCAAAGGAGAAGTGCTTGGGGCCCAGTTGATGGTTCGATACAAAAACAGAAGGAGAAAGTGAAAGAGTTGCTATGATCTGAACATCACTCCCATCCAACCTGGTTTTCAGGTGAGCGGACGTCAACTCCCAGCACTCTCGGCCAAGACTCTGGCTGGCCGGGGAATTGTGGCGTTGACCTTCTATGACCCAGGTTAGGGAGGCTGCAGAAATGAGCCATGTCAACAGAGAATCTGATGTTGGGGTGCCTTGAAAGAAAGGGGTATGCTACCAACACTGGCCACTGTTAGGAGTAAGCAGTTCCCAGAATCCCCTTGATCGCCCCCAAATCCAAGAGCTGATCTTAAGGACTTCCAGCTTGGAGAAAACAGCAGATGTGCAGTTGGCCCTTGCACCAAGCACACGGGTGATCTATATGAACAGAAGACAGTTGGGTTAATAAAACAGAGCTGAGCATGACACCAACCTGAACTCATAATACATGCAAATACAGCCATGTGGTATTTCTCACTTCTTCCACCCACCTGTGCCTTCGCCTTGGTTATGCAAGGCTATAAAATAAAAAGAGGGTCATGTGAGTGTCATCTCCAGAAGAAAGGTTGCCAAATTCACTCTCAAGCCTCCTCTTCCCCCCCTAAAGTAATAAAATCCATGTCTCCATCCAAGAACTGGATTGTCCCAACAAGGCCAAAAAAATTGCTAGCCTATAAATCTGTCTTTGTTGTCTTGGCCACATGCACATAATAGTTTGTGACACCCTCGCTGTCTAACAAGAGTGGCTGGGGAAGGAAAGGAGCACTCTTTCCAAATCACACAACTTTCCCAGCTGCTGGTCGCCTGGGACTTGCTCCAGGTGACTTGGAAGACTCACATTGGAAACAGGAATGGCCAATGGACTTCAGACATCCTAATCTCTAGATAAGAATAGAAAGAATGTCACCATGACAGAAGTTGTCCTCTCACTTGGGGCAACTCCCAGACTCCGTATCTTGAAACTTTAACTGTATTTAAGCTTAAGGATGTGCAACTGGAATACACATGTATTTTTTCCCAGTAGCGTCTTACTCAAAATGCTGCACTGGGTTTCTAATGTTTCACTTTTATGGTACCTATACATGGTTTGATCCTAAGCTACCTTACACCTGTAGGATGTCTTGGAACCATTTTGTCCTACGTACATTTCTTCAACAAAATATTCAATTAAATTACATTTTATTTAAGCAGGAGCTATTCCCAATGTTCAAGAACAACTGGTGAGATTCACATGAGGGACCTTCCGACTTGCAGCTTCAACCCATCTTATTAAGCACTCAGCTCCCTTTTATCTCAGAACTGTTCTCCTTGCCACCCCAAATTTGCTCTTCATCATCTTCACATCTGTTTACAATCAAGTCCAGATCTCCAGGAACCCACCAGATCTTCCAAAGACCACCTACCCAGCTCAGTCATCCCACCAAGCTCTGGTTTGTGGAACTGGCAGGGTTCCATGAAGCACGCCAAGCCATTTGCCAGAGTTTATCTCCCCAGCTCACCCATGGCTGAGTTTGCATGGCCAGCCACACGCCTGCCTCACATTAAGGTGGGAACCCTGCCAAAAAGAGACAGAGTGAGCGACAAAACAACCACACCCACATGTGAAGGTGTCCCTGCCTTAATTAAACACAAGCCCAAATGAACACAAACCCTTCCCTTCCCAGATGTTCCGGGAAGCTTGAGCAGTGGGAAATTCCCTGGTTGTTCCAAGCACCTGCAATCAGAAGGGCTCTGAAACAGCAGCAGCAGCTTCCATCTGCTCTCCAAGCAGATGCTGCCAATTCTACCCTCCACAAATGTCCTTCAGAGCAAAAACGGAGACTTCCCCAGCTGTGTCACCACCTTCCCCGGGAGACTGTGAAGCAGCCACTGGACAGCCACTTCCTTGCTCCAGAAACAGAGAGCGAGCACCAGTGGAAGACGTCTAGGAGCCTTTTGGATGCCTTCCAACAATCCTCTCGACTTCTCTCTCTCTCCAGCTTCTCCTCCTGATACCAAGGAATGGATTCAGGATATGAGTCTGTTATCTTGTTTTGAAAAGTTCTTAAAATGAGAAGTTGAAGCAATATGTTTCCATATGGTCTGGATTTAACAATAAGCATAAGGACTGAATTAATTCTAGACTGATACTACAGGGAGTGTACATGGATCTTTCTTTCTTTCTCTTTCTTTCTTTCTTTCTTTCTTTCTTTCTTTCTTTCTTTCTT